GTAAAAACTGGGAAATTTACTAATATTTATTATGAAACTATATTTAAATTTTTCAATGAGAAAAGCAGCAGTATTTTACATTTTTGCAAATTCCTGTAAATGTATAGGTGTAGGACACCTAGATGGTTTTTGTTTTGTGGTTTGTTTTGTTTTGTTTGTGGTACGGGGGATTGAACCTGGGACTCTGTGCTTGCTAGGCAGGCAGCAGCACCACTGAGCTAAATCCCCAGCCCAGGACACCTAGATGTTTATATCTGCTTCTGCCTTCAATCTATTGCAATACATTGGGTTTTTTGTTGTTGTTGTTGTTTTGTTTTGCTTTGTTGTGTTGTGGTTTTTTGGGTACCAGGGATCAAACTCAGGCCCTTGTGCTTGTGAGGCAGGCACTGGAACCACGAAGCTAAATCCCTGGCCCACAGTACATTGTTTTGATTGAAGTATATTTTAAAAGTTATCCTAATATAACAACAGCCATCTCTAGTAATTTTTGATACTAATTTTCATTACTGTATCAAAACTCAAGTGATAGTTTTAAGGTTTGTTGCAATGTAGAATTTTTTTAAACTTTTTATTGCTTTGTATACTAGTAAAAGAATAAGCATAAAAAAGGCAAACAGTATGTTACTGTTATTATGAAAGTAGTATTGAAATTATGGGCTGCATGAAGGGGTCTGAGGATCCCAGACTGCACTGTTGAGAATCACTGTTCATCTCAGCAGGCCCTTCCTTGCCTTGCATCACGTAGAGGAACATGGGGAGGGAGGGAGGGCAGGAGCAGCAGAAGGAAGAAGCAGCGTGGACGCCAGAGTGTAGTCGGTCTGTCCTGCATCTATCTTTCCCACCGGTGGACTCGTGGCCGGGGTGTTGGCCTAGTCTTGACCCTTGGTGTCAGCGTTACAATTTGAATGTACTTCGCTGAACTCTGTCGCGTTCTAATGCTCTTAAGCCCCCAGGCCCCTCCCGGCCCCTATCTGTCTCGTGGCATCCCTTCCCCCTTCTTTGCTGCCAGACCTAGAATTGCCTGCCTCCTTCTTCACCTGGCCGTTGCTTCCCTGTACCCTTCCTGCCCTGGCCAGGTTTGTCCATTCCTCACCTAAGACTGGAGTCAGAGGCTTTGTTCCTTGATTCCCTCTTCCTCAGTTCTTATTCCAGAGCTTGAGCTGTTTCCTCGGATTCTTTGCTTGTCCCCAGACCTTTTATGTTGCAGGTACACTCTGTCTTTCTCCCAGAGCCTTGTTGTTAGTCCATTTGAGTTTTGGTACTGAAGTCACTATTAGGCCCCACCCCAAAATTTGACCTATCACAATACATCTTTGAGTTATTGCAGCTCACCAGTGTTGACACGACACATTATGGTAATCCATGGCACATAGAGACATTAACACTGCTGACTTTGACAAAATACATTGTGAAGTCTCTGAAGGTGCCATTACAATTTATCTTGTCATTCAAAGGAGACCCGGTTCAACATTAATGTAGATGAACACAGTGTGGCTTTTGTTTCATTTAATTGCTTGTGACCTTTTTAATTGCTAATTTAACAAAATACCAAAGGGTTATATTTCTATTAAATTAATGGTTTAGAGAGTGAGGGGTTTTTTGTGTGTTTATTTTTAAGATTCTGGCTTTCTCTGTTTTTCGCTTTGAGAAGATAAAATGTCTTCTCCTGAACAGAAGTAGACTTTTTAATTTGAAGTTCATGGTACAGCAATAATTTTAATATGCAAATAGTGCAGTACCAAGCATCTTTCACATGTGACTGGATTCACTCTTTTCCAGAAGTATACAAGTAATAAAAGTGTACACAACAAGTCATAAAACTTTTCTGGTTCAAACGCATGCTTTTGATGGAATGCTTTACTTCAGGTGTTTGTTTTTAGATAAAGTGCCTATTGCATGCACCATTTATTAGGTACTTCTCTCTGCCTTGTGCTGTTTTCTTTGTATTCTGTAGCTAGTTTGTAAGCTCTTGAGGATCAGGAGTCCTGCCCCATCCTCACCAGTGCCTTCTCACAGTTTAGCATACTTGCTGGCATGGGGAGATGCGGTCAAAAGTCACATGAACACGCAGACATGCCGCTGCAGGCAGCAGCACTCCTGGGCCTGCTTCAAGAAATGTCCCCAGACCTTGAAGGCCAGCAGTGTTTCATTCAGCAGCGTTGAATTTCAGCATTCGGAGTGGGCAGCGTAAGCTGGAGGCACGAACAGGACCATTCCCGCCCTTCTCCCCCAGGTGCTGTTGCCCTTCTGATCATAAAAGCAAACACGCCCCTTTGTCAGCGGGAGCAAGGCTCAGAACTCACCCGAGTATCGGGGGATTTAAATCCTCAAATGGGATATGAATTTACACTGGCAGAGAGTAGAAGGTCAATGCATGAAGCATTAGAGTGTTGAGCCAGCTCCAGCTATATAAGTCTTGAACAAAATTAATACAAGGAAATTGACAAGCTTTGCTGGTTATTCCCTAGCTTTAAGACCTCTACTAAAATCCTATCATCTCATCTGCCCATTATTAACATTTCAGCAAAATATAAAGTTTTCATTAATCTCCCACAGCAAATTTAGGAGTGAAAACTGGCACTTGTTTGAGCTTTTAGGACTACATTAGCTGGTGTATTAAACAAAATATGTCATTCTTCAGTAGCTTCTGTGAGAAGCTAAATCAATTTCTAGCCATATTTATGCACCACTTTATCTAAAAGCATCTGAATTATCATTTACAGCTAAGATGCTTTATTAGCAGCTGGCATTGAAATTGCTCAGTAAAAAATTATATGTCACGTTATAGTAATTTTTAAATTGGTTTTAATCCAACATCATAAAATGTAAAAATCTTAAGTGTGGATTTTTTTGTAGTAATTGGCATTTTAGCATAATGAGCTGTTACCTCTTTCCAAATCAAATACCTGCAATATTTAAAAAATACTAATTAATAAAGAAAACAGAATTCTGGAGCTTATAGCTAAGCTATGTCTAAGAATGGCATTTTTCCAGAAAAGATGGCTTTAAATGACTTGTAACACATTAAACAATTTTAATATTTTGCTAAAACTCCCTATAATTTTCATGTATAAAAATTCTAACAGTAAACATGTTGGGAGTTGTGTTTCAGTGAAAATGTAGATTAAAGGGAGTGAATAATCAGTATTCTAACTGCTAACCAGGCTCTCAGCTCAGATGTGTAACAGTGGTGACTATTATCGTGGCACCTCTGTCCAAAACCACAGTGTTGCCAAAAAAAAGGAAATGGGTTACCTAGTGGCCCTTTTAGACACTGTGTCCCAGCAGCATGACACTGGTTAAGTCTCTCGGCCTACCTGATCCTCCCCTTCCTGTGGGCATGGTACCTGGTATTCATCCAGTACATCTATTGAGCTCTTGCTTTCTCCTCTGCACAGTGGTCCTGACAGGGTCTGGGCTACAGTGGTAAATGAAGCAGTAGTATGCCTACCCTTTGGGAGTTTTCAGTCTAGTGGCAGAGACAGATAATTACTGCCTGTGCTGACTGTTCTGAAGGAGATGTAGGGCACAGTGGAAGAAGGAGCTTATCCACACTTGGCCTGGGGCCGGGAAGGATGCCCTGGACCTTCACTTGAGCTGAGCTCTTCAGGAAAAATAGGGAGGTGACCAGGAGGGACAGAGATGGGGAGAAAGGTGGCCTGAGCAGAGAGGACTGCATGTACAAGACACACTCAGAGGGGACAGTCGGAGGCATCCCACTTCCTTACCAAGGGGAAAGCCTTATTGTAGGTGCTAAAATTGAGTTAGAAATAACTATAATTTCCTAATAAATACATTCCATGTGAAAGCATCAAAAACCAGCTTCTCTGTGTGTGTCTGTGTGCTGCCAGGATTGAACCCAGGGCTTTGCACAGGCTAGACAAGGGCTCTGCCACTGAGCTACACCCCCAGCCCTAGGTTGTTTTTAATGAGCAACTTCATAAAAAGTTAGTGATTGTGAGAAGTAAACACATGTAATTGTTAGGTGCCTGTTACATTACAGAATTTTCCAATTTGATACCCAGTTCTCATTTTCATCCCCCCACCCACCCTGAGAAGCTCTAAGTTACCCTGTGGAGCCATCTTCGGGTGCTCAACACAAGGCTGGGGTCTCCCTGCTCTGGTTGGCCTCTGCTAGACAGGTGTTCCTTCACTCCAGCTGGCACCAGCATTCCACCTTCAGAAGTCCGCATTTCAGACTCTGGGGACCAAGAGATAGATAGTTGTTCTTTGCTTAGTGTGACCTTGAGCATGCGACTTAGCTGCCCAAAGCCTCAGAAAGGCTCAGCTGAAAAAAAAAAAAAAAGTGTTTCAGGAAGCTCTGGGAAGGCTCGAGAGCACCAGTCTTCCTGTTGGTCCCCCATGTCACATGCTAGAGTACTCAGCATGTATGAGGCTCTCCCCATTTGGTGAGTGACTGAATGGTCAAACTTTTGGAAAGATGAATCCAAAGGCCTCCTGGTGGCTGGTTTGCAGAGGGAGCCTGGCAGATAGAAGGCCAGTGAGGTGACTATCACATGCATGCAAGTGCCAGCAGGCTCCCCCTTACCAGCCAATAGAGGCTGTGAGCACAGGGTGGGAAGCTACTGAACAAACGGCTTAGGACAGGGCTTCTTCAAGGAGCAGGGATTACTTCTGTGGCCAGGAAAATCACATTTGGAAAACCAAGTGTGATCACCCATGTTCTTATGATTTTGACATACCCTTTTGGAGACCAAGCTCCTTGCTGAGAGCAAGCCGGGATTTTCTGTCTTCCTCTCCCTGCTGCCCAGCCAAGGGCCTGCCATAGAATAGGCAGTGTTTGTGGAATTAATTGTTGAATGATTAATATGTTACCATTCTCTGTTTACTGGAATGGCATTATTAAGTCATCGCTCAGCCTTTTCTTCTCCAAATTAAATAGCCCATATTATTTTAATTTATCCCAAAGCATTTTAAGCAGACACCATTTGCCAAGCCTCATGTATCTTTATGTGTTAAAGTGCTTTTTTCCTCCCCAGGTTCAAGGGCAGATGGAGTTTTTGAGGAAGATTCACAAATTGACATAGCTACAGTACAGGATATGCTCAGCAGCCACCATTACAAGTCATTCAAAGTCAGCATGATCCACAGACTCCGCTTCACAACCGACGTGCAGCTAGGTGAGTGTGTAAACAGGCGACGAACTAAACTCTGTCTATTAGTAGTCAGTGCAGAAAGGAAAGAAACAGCATACTACTGTGTGACCTGAATAATGTGATAATCTGTTTTCTGAAAGTTTAAACAATGAAATTTAAAGAACATCTTTTTCCCACCTGAGTGCTCTGTCTTGTCTTCTTGTTTGTGAAGCAGAAGATTGGAAGTAGAGCCAACATGGGCCTCTTTTCAAACTGCTAGGCTGCTGTGGGGCTCCGTGATGCCTCCCGTCCTGTGACTTCCCCCTGAGGTCTCCTGAGTACGGCTGTGTACTTCTGCTACCCTGCCCAACCCTGCCCAGCCCAGAACACACATGCTGATCATTCAGGAAACTGCTGAAGTGCCCCCAAAGGTGCTGTTTGGAGCCTCACTACATAACCTGGAACTAACTTTCAACTGATATTTGGGATCAATTTGCTCCAATTAAATGCTAAACTTCTATTTTGACTTGAACCCAACTGACGTAGAAAAAGTAGTCAACATAATATTAATACGTCGTCATCATCATGGCAACCTTTTCTAGATATCCACCTTGTGTTAGTCTCTGTGCTAAGTGCTTTATGCATACTGCTTATCTATGTAAAAGGTGGGTATTTTTACCATTCCCACCCTCCCTGACAGAGAAGGTAACTGAGGGGCAGAGAGACAGACCTGGGCCCAGCTCACACGGGCTTGTGGCAGTGTCCCAGGCAGAATCCTTGTCTGTCTGACCACCTTGAGTCACCTGCTCCCTAGCAAAATTCTCCACATGGGGGAGGAGCACACAGGGTGAGTGGCTCAGTCAAGGAGCTGAATTGGACCCTGGTCTGCCATACCACCCCTTACTAGTCTTGTTTACCTCTGGCATAAAGGAGGATCTTTGAATTCTAATTCTAGGGCTCACTAGTGATTCTCACAAGTGCTTTGTGTTTTGTAATAAAACCTTTTCTGGTGTTGACATTAGTCTGAATCTGACTATCATGTACAATGTCTAAAAAAATTCCTCAAATATTCCTTCCCAAAGTGACTGACAGGAACTTGCAGGGCTCAACTTAGTATATAGAGATGGGCAAACGAACCTCAGCTGGCATAAACTGTGTTTTGTCACTAACTAGCCACAGACCCTCAAGCAAGGGTCTTCATCTTTCTGAGCTTTGTTTCTGTCCTGTTTAGATGAGAAGCTTCTGGAGATTACTGTTGAAAACAAGTAAGATACTGCATGTAAAATGTTTGGCACCAACCTGGCAGTTGTAGCAGAAACAAGAGCTGTTAGTTGAAGCCAAGCGTGGTGGCGCTTGCCTATAATCCCAGCATTCAGGAAGCTGGGGCAGGAGGTCTGCTGTGAGTTCAAGGCCAGCCTAGCCTTCAATAAATAAGTAAGAAAGAAAGCCAGCAGGATGTGGTGGCATTACTCCTGTAATCCCAGTACTTGGGAGGCTGAGGCAGGAGGATCTCCATGAATTCAAGGCCAGCCTGCTGGTATACACAGCAAGACCTTGTCTCAAAAAAAAAAAAAAAAAAAAAAAAAAAAAAAAAGCCTATGGGCGGGGGGTTTGGCTCAGTTCCACCGCCTGCCTCCCAAGCACAAGGACTCGAGTTCGATCCCCAGTACCAAAAAAAAATTAAGCAAAAAAAAGCCTAGACATAATGATGTGTACAGAGTAATGAGAGTGATCCTCCTGGCAGGAGAGAGAAACCCATGCTGGAGGGGGGCTGTTAAAGGTCTGTTTCTTGATCTTGGTGCTAGTTATGAGGCTTATAGACCTTGTGGAAAAGTCGTGCTATGTAGACTCTTGATTTGTACACTTTCTGTGCATTCTGAATTAAAAGTTTACTAAGATAAGAATGCTGACAGGGATTTAGCTCAATGATTCCACTGCCTGCCTTGTAAATCCAAGATCCCGAGTTCAATCCCTGGTACAAAAAAAAAAAAAAAAACAAGATCTAAAATAAGAATACTGCTCATAGCTTAGACATCCATTTTGTGTTTGGCTGCAGTGATTGCCCAGAAGCAAGGGGTCTGCTTTTTTTCTGAGTGGACCTCGTTGTAAGGAGTTCATTGTATAGCCTGTGGCCAAGACAGAAGTCCTAGGCAGGCACATTGTCTGGTGATCTTAATCATCAGATCCCCCTGCTCCTTCCACAGCATGAAGAGCAGTACCTGCCAAGTGATAGCCAAGTCCCTGGGCTTCTCCTTAATTGTTTTCTGAAGGCAAAAATACAAACTTTAATTTACCAGATTCTCACTTCATTCTAAGGAAAAAGTCCCCAAAAGGGTCAGGGATTTACTCAGGGGCACTGCGCCCACGCCTCAAAAGCACAAGATCCTGAGTTTGATCCCCAGTACCAAAACAAAACAAAACAAGAAGTCCCCAAAAGAGTCTGAGAGAGAGTCAGGCTCTGCAGTTAGTCAGCACTGGGTTCACATCCCAGCTTTACACTTACCTGAGGTGTTTTGCCATTTATAGAATAAGGATCATAGTGTATACCTTTTAAAATGATGTAGTAGGAAAGTGTCTGGCCACAGAAGTGGATTCTGAGTGGCAGCTTATCTTAGTATTGTCAGTGTCGTTACCATTCATCTTGCCTCTGGCTCTCTGTCCTACACCTCTTCCTCTTTACAAGTGTTTGAGCCCAGAGCCATGGCACTGAACTGTATCTCAGGCCTTGCTTATCTTTTTCTTTTTGTTCTTCTTTTTTTTCTTTTTCTTTTTTTGAGGCAGGTCTCATTGAATTGCCCAGGCTGCACACAAACCTGTACTCCTGCTGCTGCATCCTCCCAGCTAGTCCCCCATCTTGTAGGTATTAAACCAAGTGACCCAGATTAGGTGTGGCCACAGTGAAGACCTGTCAGGTAGAAAGCGGTGATGTCAGTGATGCAGGAGTCTTCTCAGTTCTCTAAGTGCGGCTGATCCAGTTCCCCAGCCCTCTGGTTACTTCCACTGACAGAAATGACGCCCTCTACTGGAGAGTCAAGCTCCAGGGAGCTTCTAAACAGATGTTGTCACATTTGCTAAGACTCTTTAAGTTCACTTTTTAACATTAAAAGCAAAAACTTCATCAATTAAACCTAGTGAATTTTGTGACCATCAGAAAAACCAGCCCATGAGTACTGTATCATGAAGTGAATAAGCTGGTTTCCCACATAGATTCAGTCAGGTACACAGTGTCAGCCTCTCTCCCTAGTTACGAAGCACATGACAGCCCCCCTTCACTCTCACAACAGTGACAAACGCCTGCACACAGCAGTCCACAAAGTCTTTCCTTCCGTTCTGCCACAGAGTCCAGGGCAGCAAACAGTATGTCCCCTATGAACATCGAGTGAGCAGCTGGATTCTGAGACCAGTAAATAATTTATTTTATTTTACCTGACTAGCCAGGTGCTTCAGATCTTCCCTGACACTGATGGATGGCCTTCCCTGCCCATCCATTCTGTGCCAGAGCAGAGATTTCCCATGGCCCCTGAGGCAAGTCCTTCCCAGTGAGTGTCCCAGCCCAGCCTTCCCCGCTTTCCTGCTGATTCCTCAAAAGCCGCTGTCCACACTGAATTGTGAGGATGGGAAGACCTGGGCTGTGCCGCTGCTACTCCGCTGCTCCTCTTCTGGTGAGGCAGGAGGGGCTGAGGCTCTAACTTTACCACGTGCCATTTGTCCCTAAGAAAGGGGTTGTGAGACTCGAGGCTTCAATCTGCAAGACCCCAATTTAAAGTAATTTTCTACCACTCTATGATTGAAAAACTCTAATTCTATTAATGAAACCTGTGGCAAAGATCTGATCTTTTGAAATGGTTCTGCTACTTAACAGAAACATTATGAAGTGTTTAGTGTATACCAGGTGCTTTGCTAATCACTCTCTTAACATGCAGTGGCACCTGAAATCACATCACTAGTATTACATAGTACTGACATATTCATTTATTATATGAGGAAGCTTGAGTGTATGTATCTAGTCCCAGTGGCAGAGGTAGAACAGAAACCCAGTCCCCTGCACCGAACCCAGTCCATCACACCAGAAATGCCTTAGCCATTCACAACTTGGCCTTTAAAGAGGAAGTGATTCCTTCTAGCTGGCTGGTTCCCAAACTTCTGCGCATCCTTCCCCCTTTCCTCCCTAGCTCTGGAGAGAGACGCTATCCTCCACTCCCCTTTAGACATTGTGAATCAGTCACTGCGCTTCTTCCTGCTAGGCGCAGACCTAATCTCAAAGTCCTTTCAAATACAGTCCCCTTAAAAAGCCCTACCAGTCACCTGAATGCAGTTTGGTTTTTGAACTGAAATTTATTTGCCACCCTGCTCTACCAGCCTGGAAAGTTTACCAGATAAAACTATCACACCTGGCCGTTTTTGTAGTTCTCTAAAATATTCTTAAAATATTCCATCTTATCTATTTCCTCAGGTTGGACCTAAAAATATTGATGCCCTTTAAATTTAGACCTTGCCTGAGCTTATACCAAGTTGCTGTTGATTACATTACCTTGGTCTCATGTGAGCCTTACCAACTGAGGGAGGTTGGGCACTGAGACAGGGGTGCTACCCACACATGCCAGGGCTGGCAGCGGGGAGTAGGTTTGGGGAACACTGAAGTGAAGAATCAGATGCTGAATGCCAGCCATGATCTGGGAAGCCCACAGTATACCATCAGCATTTGTTGGCTGGCTGGTAGGAGCTGAATTATGATGCAACCAATGCAAGAAGTAAGTTTTTAAAAAGCCAGGACATCGCCATCATAATACTTGTTTGCGTAGCTCCATCATACAGCGCCCCGCCTCTGACTGTGCGTCAGTATTCCAGGCCTTGTGCGAGTCCTTGACCTCATCCTAGTCCTGCTGGCTCAGAATCTCCTCTGAATTATGGTATTTGGGAAGCACGGTTCACAGGATTCCAAGGTCTTTCTCACCCCTTATCTCATTGCCCAAGGTTGTTTTTATTAACTGGACAGGGTCTCAGCTGAGGAGGATTTGATGCTTGTGCCACTTGTACTATCTTCC